AAGATTAAAAAAATTATTAACTTCTAATTTCAAAGTTTTAATTTTATTCTTTTAATTGTATTTTTTTCTTGCTTTGATAAAAAAATATATTATTTAGCACTTGGTTTATTTGTGTTTTTTAAAAATAAAAAAATCATTCACAATTTTAAGTAAAATTGTTATTTGTTGTTTTATGTTAATTTCTTCATACATTTGTTTATGAATTTATAAAATTTATAAATTTTTTTTTCTTTTGCTCAAGGGAGAGGGAAGAAAGAGGAAATCTTGGCTCGAAACTAAGATCTTTATGTTCTCATACAATCTTCTAGACCAAGAGGTGGAGCAAAATTTTGTGAGTTAATTTAGTATATTTTATATATGTATTTATATTGATAATATATATAGTAGTTTACATATAAAGAAAAAAAATTAAAATTGAGTATAATATTAATTAGTCCCCTCAAAATTAAATATCAAGATCTGTCATTAATTCTCGGATGAATAATACACTATATGCTCTTTTATTGTTGCATCTATAATTAGTTTTTTACAAGGGTAATATCTTTTAAAAGTAGTCTAACATCTACCATATATTCTTAATTAATAATTATAATATATAAAAAAATATTTTTTATTGCTGTATCCTATTATATCTATGCCATTAATTTTTAAAAATTATCATATCACGTCATAATTAGTGCCAGTGCTTCATAACATTATTAGTTTTCATTATGCTTCTAGATTTTTGAAGCCAAGTATTTCCATAACAATTTTTTATTGAATGCTGGTTTCATGGATAATCCATGGTTTCATGAATAATATATATATATATATATATATTATTCGCCTATTTTAAAATTTGAAAAATAATTTAATGCTTTCAAATTTTATTTTTCATAGATAATAATTTTAATAAGTTAAATCTTATTTAAATAAAAAATTTTGTCCTCAAAGTCCCACTGCAATGCACAAGTAAAAAAATTAGCTATATTAAAATTGAGTCCAAAATAGTATTGCAGCAATCCATCAATTTGTGCTGCTTATAAATTGATTTCACGTGAAAATCAATTAAGTTGTTTGGACTTTTACAAATGCGCATAGATTTAGATTTTGGATATTGAAAATAAAAAATAAAAAATAAAAAACAAATTAGGTAAAAAAGCAAGACAAGAAAGAATAGAAAAAATTGTAGAAAACACAAAGAAAATATTTGGAACCACCAACCACATCAAAAATTCACTACCTAAAATTTACCAGCAAGAAACAAAAATGCAAGAAAGTTTTCATTTTTCACTCGAAATTTTTTTTTAAAAAATTATAATAAACCACAAAAAATCTGAAAATATTCCTCAAGCAAGTGGATCTAAAAATTTTAAATTTTCTCAAAAAAATTGAAAATTGGGTAGATCTGAACTTTTTTTTTTTAATTTGAAATTTTATTAAAATCCAAAAAAAAATTACAAATTTTTTGAAATTACAAATACATGAAAATTTACCATCATAATTAGATATTATATCATTGAATAATCAAACAAACAAACCAATCAACAAATTTAATATAAAATCGAATTAAATCCATATACTAAAATTTGACCTAAAATTTCAATAAAATCAATAACACCAACAATTAAAAAAAAAAAAAAAAACACAGATCAAGACCTTTCTTTTTCTGGTATTTTAAAAATTTTAAGAAAAATGGTCCAAAAAATGATATACCTCTATATTAAAAGAAAAAAAAATTAAAACATCAAAATAATAATAACACCAACAATAGAGAACACAAATTTGGATTTTTTTTTCTTAATTTCACAAAACCTTTTCCACAAAAACCAAGTATTTTAACAACTACAAACCAATGCATACAAAAAAAAACAAAACAAAAAAAAAAAAAGAGACAATACCACTAACGAAGAAGCTTTGTTCATTTTTTATGAAGTAGAAAAAAATAAGAGAAAAAGCAAAGTCAATGGTGGCTATGCCGGGCAGAAAAGAGCAAGGACAAAGAAAGGAAAAGAGGTAGTGACAGATTTGGCATAGGATTTTGATGGAGCCAATTAAAAATATTATTTTTCATTTGAATATTCCATTATATTTATTGAAATGAAAGATATCTGTAAATAATATATTAATTAAAAATGAAGATTTTATAAAATTATAAATTTTATCAATTCATATATCTATTAATTTAATTTTTGTAAATAAATTCTCAACAAGTGTACGTTTTGTAAAAGAAGAATTTTTCATGAATAATTAAGACAAGTTAATTTACATGGCACTATAGCAAAGTTAAAAAGAGTCTCAAATTTTCTATGAAACACATAATTTTTAAGATGATTCATATAAAAACAAGCATATATATACATAAATTTAGAAAAAAAAAATCTTAATATCAATTTTAGCTTAATAGAGGTAGTTGACAATAGAAACCCAAACGATTAAACAAAACCCAATGAAAAGGGTCATAAAGATATAGAATAGAATTAAAATATACGAGAAAAGAAGTTGAGTTGAGAAAGCTAGAAAATCAATTTGGCTTTTCGAAAGTTTACATGATTGTTACTTAACATTTTGTGAAAAAAATTGTTGATTTTAATACTATGTGAATAAGGAATATGGATTTAATAAATAGATAAAAATAATGTAATTTTAACTTATCTCATATTAAAATGCATAAAATTAGGATACAATAAAAATAAATAAATAAATAAAATTAACGAATAACAATTTTAATGCTATGGGAATCCATTTAATTTTAATCAAAATAAATATATATACATTCTAGGAGTTTCAAATTAAAAATTTGGATAGCGGGCAAGGCTCCCCTTAACGCCCACTACCATCTATCATCTGCTGTTGAAATGAAAAGAGAGAAGGATATGAAGTTTTACATAAAAAGGAAATGACAAGCTAAAAAAATTGTAATTGAAATACCATATTAAAATTGTTTTAAATTTAAAATCACATTACATATTTCGTTATAGTTATTTGATCAATTAACCCTTTTGCAAACTGTGTAACTGACATTCTCGCAAAGAGGTGCACAAATTATTTGTAGTAATGAAATAGAAAAAATCTTGTTTTCTCTATCTCCTATTTCTCTCTCATTCTCTTTTCTATCTTCTTTTCCTCTGCCCTTGTTATTCTAACTCTCATCTTCTATAAAACGAAACAAAAACCAGAGTTAGAAATTTAGGCGTAATTTCTTTTTATAAATTATTATCCTCTGCTCATCAATGGTTTCACCAAAGAAATCATAGTGCAAATAACTCAGCGGGAACTCTACCCTACATTCTTCAATGGCATTTTCAAAATGGATTCCTATTAAGCTTTTGACTACTTTGTAGGTGTATTTATTCATACTCATTCTTGGAGCATCAATGACGATTTCTGATTGAAATTACTAACTTCCACGAAATGCTAAGGGTTAAAAGGCACAAATACTTCAATCCATCGTTTGTAAACATAGAAATACGAGAACATTTCAACTAAGGATGTAAATGAGATATATGTATTAATAAATTATTCGGATTCAGTTCGAAAAAAATTCAAATTTGATTCAATTGTTGTCAAATTGAATTCAAGCAGTGTGAGTTATCAAACGAGTTAAATTTAAGTATTTTAATATTTAATCTAAATAGCTCGTAAATTTAATCGAATTTTTTATTTTTAATATATATTTTTAATATTTTATTATTAATTTATTTTTTTACCCTTAAATATATATAAACATTTAAAAACCCTTAATTCCTAATCTTTTAACACTAAAACTTATAACACATTTGCTTCCTCCCTCTCCCCATCCCAGCGGTGCCCCTACATCACTCTCCCGATCCCATCCCAACACCAGCAGCCACTGCTTCCTACCCTCTGCCTTCATCAACAAAGTTTTCTGACCCTCTTGTCAACTGTTTACTGTCGATCCCTAATACCAACAACGACACCTTTTTTTCCCACAACAGTAGAGAAGTTCTCTGGAACTTGAGCAGTAGCGAAGCTCCCTCAAATCAAGACTGAGCAATGAGCACACGGGCATCATAGCTGACAGCGACAAGGGGTGGAAGCTGCAATCAGCAGCAACAGGTGAGTTTGGCAACTGGCAAAGTGAGCAGCGAACCAAAATTTCATGGTTGACACAAGCACGCTCGCTGAGCAATGATTCCATTGTTTGCTATTTGCCTGTTGTAATTACTCCAATATGTAAAGCATGAATTGCTTTTGAAGCTGCCTACACGTCGCATCTGTGAAATGTGAGAAATTCTTTTTTGTTTGTTCTTATCAAAAATAGAGTTTTATTTCATGTTTATATTTATATTTTCTAGAAAGTGTTTTTTTTTTCTTTTTAAATTCGACCAAAATCTGTAGTTTTCTCATTTTTATTAGAAATAAGATTTGTAGTTCTTATGTTAACTTGAATAATGATTTATTTGAATATAATCCGAGCAGAAATTGATTGCTTTATGGGCTATGCTTTTGATTGCTTTGAACTTTGTGATTTTGTCTTTCTTTTGCGGATTCAAGTTGGTTTGATTATTGTATTAGATTATTTATTATTTTTATGATATTATTTTGAAATATATCAGATTTAATTGATACAAAAAATTTGTATTTGATCAATCTTAATTTGAGCTTGGACTCAAATACCAATAATTGAACTTAAAATCAAATATGAATTCAAATTTACTTTTTATAGATAAACAAATCTAATCAAATAAATTGAAGTAATTCGATTTCGATCATAATTTAAGCTCAAATTAAAAAAATAAAATTCGATCGAGTTCGAATCAAATATCGAATCACAAGTTTATAATCGAACTTGAACTTTTCATTGTATTATTTTGACTTGACTCGATAACACTCTAATTTAAACTAAAATTCTTTTTATTACACTTGTACAATTGTTCAATCATAATCATGAATTATTCGAGAAGGCCATCAGTGGACTCCACCACACAACTCTAAATTCTGATTGGTTAATTGTAGTTCAATTATAGTTCAGCTCCTCTTCAAAGGAATACTACATATTGTCCACAACACAAGACAAACAGAATTTATACTAGCAATGGCAATCATGGAACCGTAAAGCTGAATGTCGTTTAAAGCAATTAGGAAACCAAACAGCAGATTTCCTCCGTCTATTTTGTAACATTTACACACACACAAAAAAGACAATCAGACCAGAGCAATCCTACTGCCCACGATCCACCCTGGTTTTAAGGAAAAGCTGTGGACTACAAATTGGACCAACCACGTCTAAACATCATGCTATAATAAACCACACCATAACTCGGCACTTCAAGAGGAAGAAAGAAAAACAGTGAATAATCAATGGTATATATTTAATCTAACATAGGCTATCAAATACCAGTTCAATTTGCCCAAACTCATGAAGTCCCAAGACAGAAGTTCCCACGAGCACATGTAATATTACAAGCTGTTGTTTCACTGCAGAGTAAAACGAAGGAATATCATGAACAAAAGCCATAGGACATGACAATTGAATAAGTAGCTAAATTAAAAACAATTAATAAGTATACCTCTGCCTCATCTGCCCCACCAACTTTGGCTGTTCCATTGACCCTCTGGGCATCTTCTGTTGCAGTAAGGAGAGAAAAGAAAAAGATTAAAAGGATGATAGCAGTGAGGAATTGAAAACAATAAGATGTAATTCACACAGTATATCTGATTAGATTGCATTATCAATGAACACTAAAAACACTGCTACCATAACTCATAATAGAAGATTTCTGCATCTATGCCTCAAAATAGAGAATATTGCTTCATTTAGATGTGTAACTGGCTGCACTGAACTTTTTACACATGTAGAAGTCTCACCGAAGCCTAACGTTAGATCCTATTAATATTTCTGGATAAATGCATGCATGAAGAAACATTTCAGGGAATAGACTTAATTAGCACTGACATTCATTTCATCCACCAATAACAAAGCTAAGTGTTTTTCTTTGCTCATTTCCAACCAAAATGGTAGAACAGTCATGTACATTTAACAGTCCAACAACAAACAAAATTTATTCTAAAAAGATTTTCTATTTATATGATTCGCACTACTGTGATAGTGGATACTTCAATGCTGTAAAAAAAGAAGGTAATCTATATTATAACATATATGATTTAAGTGTCTTACATTTTAACATCCCCAATATAATCACAACATAATGTCCATTGACGCACAGCTTTAATCATTTATTAGTATAAGAATGGGTATAAGAGAGAAAGACTTTTGGTAGCACTACATATGGTCTCCTGTTAACTAATTCCTGATTCATTCCAACCCTGAATTTTGAACCACCAATTGTCTACACCTACAAATGGAAAAAAACTAATATCCTCTTCCGCATTCTACAATAATGAACTTAAAAATTTTGCAACTATCTTGGCCTGCTTAGAGTTCCAACCTCACCATGTCTACCACAAAGAGTTGATATTTCATTATCGTGTATTCCAAGGGAAAAAAAAAATAGAATAATAAGTAGAAACAAAAAGAATAATAATAACATGCCTTGGAATCAGAATACTATCAGCAAAGTCTTGGTCGAAGATTATAAAAAGAAATTAAGTCATTCAAGGTGTACAGTGATCAATAAACCAAATGAAACTCTCATGAACTCTGTACATAAAAGAGGTAAACTTTTTAGTTAGCATACAAGACTTGGGTAACCTCTAAAATAATTTGAAATATGCACACATACTGACATACATCAAAACATATACATATATAATTTATCTATTTATTTATTGTATTGTTGTTTCTATTATTCATTGTTTGTGATTAACACTGATGCTATATTTAGTAAACTGCAATAAAGAGGTGGTGAAAAAATGGAAAATTGAGCTTTCCACTTTTCTGTAAATACTTTTTAGTGCAGGAATACTTTGCAGTTCTAGAAAAATTTACACAAAAATCTACAAACAATTACATTCTAATAATTAACACAAAGAACATAATTATGTACATTGTTTTGGTAGGATAGTTTGTACATATTAGTAGATGATACCAAAAATTCTTATTCTATCTCTCCTACCATTTCGTGTGTGGGAATTGGAGAGTAAGCAAGCTAAGGTACTCAGAAGACTCACATTCAACACTTGAACTCAACTCAATCACCTCTAGATTCAAGGTAATTCTAGTGAGTAAATGCCACTAAAATTTAGCTTTCCATTTTTCTCAGAAATACTTCATAAAGTATATTTCTACTGCATGAATAGTGCAGAAAATTTTACATAAAATCTTTAAATAATTAAATTCTAATAATTATAACAAACAGAACATAATTAAAAAATATTGCTGTTATAGAATCAGTTTGTACATATTAGTCACTGCCACAAAGATTCTTATACCATCTCTTCTGCCTTTTCATATGTGGCTACCAGAGAGTAAGCAAGTTAAGGTTACAATATAAATCATCTATAATATGCATAATCAATTAAATATAATATTATTATCTTATATTACAATTTTGCCCTGACTATACAATAATCAAGCCTAATTGAGTAAAATCAAGTAGTACAACTACCTTTTTCAAGTCAAGCTCAAGTCAATTATATAGTCTTCAGTTGAGCTTAAATTCATGTTTCACACATTATTGACTTGACTCGACTAATTTAAAGCCCAAAAATAAGGTGTTCAAGATTCCCAAATATGGATCTTATCTACTTGATGCATCTATACATAATCAATGTAATTTTGTATGATCTACTTTAAAATTTTGATATTACCCTTTATCATTTTTCCTCTAGCAAGATAAGCTAAACTCTAAACAAATACATATTTACAAACCATAATTTTTGAAGAAAAAAAATCATCTAATGTATCCGGAATCTTAGAGTTTCCCTTAAGCAGAAAGAATTTTTGACATCAAATACTTTAAGGCTAAATGCTCTCATTAGGATACAACTTTAGCAAAATAAAAGGTTACAACCTCGATTATGGCAGCAAAAAAAAAAAAAAAAGAAAACAAGAATTTGATTGCTTTTTAACATAAAACAATTAGATTTTGGTGTTTGCATATAGATTTCAATGGTATTCATTTCATTTTAGCATACTATAGATAGATACTCTAGTCACCCAAACTGAACCGATTAGAGTTAATATAAGTATTTACCTGACTTACCATAGACCACACTATTTTCGCAATCCTCAAAGTTCAAACGTGGTAATGGAATACAGCTAAGCTTATTCCAAATTATTAAAATCCCATTTGACCAAGTCAAGTTAGTAATTGATATAGGAGGCTTTCCTAATTTTTGGGGGAAAGAGACCTTTTATCATTAGAGGACCTGTCCCACATTGCTTGGTAGAAAAGATGGAAAATTTTTATCCAATGGTTAGGTTTCATAACCACTTCCCAACTTTGCATCTTAACATTTGTTAAAAACTGTATCCTTCCTCCTTTCCATCTTCCCAACAGGCAAAAACACTATTCACAAACTTTTTTCCTCTTATTCTTTCTCCTTTCTTTTGGTGCAGTTCCCTTACAAGATTTCCATTCTTTTCTCACCATTCAAATATTGCTCATGGAAACCTTCTCCTTTAACTCAATCATGATATTGCTAATCGGTTCATCAACAATCCAAGGCAAATTTCATTTTATCTTCTCTATCTCTACTAGACCTGAGATCAAATCAAAGAGTTAAGATCTCACATATAAGATCTAAAATTATAAATTGGAATTTTTTTAAAGACAAAGTAGTGAACCTGGTGTAAAATTATAAATTAAGTATAAACTCTTAAATTTATTGGTTGATGCAAGATTGAAACTAATGGCATGTGAATCGGAAAACCAAGAAACTAAACTGAAAACTGAGTAATTCAGTTCTGCATAAGATAAGTTTTTCTTCCCAGTCAGTTCGGTCTCAGTTTCTCATTAAAAATTTAAGAGGTCGATGTACCACAACACCTTGACCCTTGATTGAAAGAAATTTGCAAACATTTCATCCTAATTACAATATTTAGCAAACTTAATGTTAGCAAAAAGCAAAGAAACTTACAGAGAAATTAATATCAGTGAAAGCATCATCAGATAACATAAACAACTAAATCGAATAATGTGAATGTACACAGAAACAAGTTTTTGTCAAATAAGTGACATCGTAAAGGTTTTTAAAAGACGGTGTTTTCTAATCCAACCTTTTGATCAAATAAATTAATACAATGTACTAGACTCCAGGGTTTTTTTTACTAGAAAGACTCTAGTTTCAATGATGAAACTAAAAACCTGTTTCAGCAGTGTAGCTCACTCTATCCCACACATGTTTACAAGTGCAATGGAAAGAGTTATCAATTTCGTAGATAGCCTGTAGCTTGGGGCCACCTAATTCACTCTGGATATCTTGACAGATATATCATTGTGTAGCTAGCATGTAGCATGAGGCACCTAATTCATTCTAGGTACCAGTCATAAGCTAGGCCAAACACCCACTAAAAGAGCCAAGAGCTTTTAGCTGGAAAAGAATGAACTGAACCAACAACTAACTAACCCATTACTTGAAAGAAAGTTTTTTAATTTAACCATTTAACTGCATGAAAAGTTCAGAAATAATTATGATAATCACCTCCATCCTCAGGGATGTCAGAAGTCCAAAGGGTAAGGTTGTCCCTGAGAAGCTGCATAATTAAGGTGCTGTCTTTATAAGACTCCTCATTCAGTGTGTCAAGCTCTGCGATAGCTTCATCAAAAGCTTGCTTGGCAAGGTGGCAGGCCCTGATAGAGAAAAATTGAAGAGAAAGAAAGTCATTCATCTCAAAGAAGATGAAAGAGCAAGATACTAAATGAGATGCATCCTATGCAACAAACCTCTCAGGTGAATTCATAATCTCATAATAGAAGACTGAGAAATTCAAGGCTAAACCCAGTCGGATGGGATGTGTAGTAGGCAACTCAGCCTCTGCAGTAGTGGTAGCTGTCTGCACCAAAAAAAAAAAAATCCTGATCTTCAGACCATTTACATAGCATTTAATGACATCAACATTTTACAGCTGAAGAAGACATACTAAGTTCGATCTAATAGTAATACAAGATACTCCCACTTATCCCACTAAAATAAATAAAATAAACTGCATGGTTTGGTTGCCTTCTTGAATTGATTCAATTCCATCTTATATACCGCATAGTCATATTTATTCCACTAAAAAATTCAATAAGAGAATAAATAATCTATAGTTTGATTGCCTTCTAAAATAAATAACAAGCCATGAAAAGAGAAGGGAGCGACACATCAGCAGATGGGCCAAACATATTCCTCAGAACATAAAAAAAAGGATACTGTGTGTAGCCATCCATCTTGTTGAGGAGAATAAGTTAATAACAACACCGGATAAACATATATATGCATAAAAGCATATAAGTATTACCTGGAGAAAATATTAAAAAATTAAAAAGAAAAACTCTTTCCACCACATTAAAATGTTTTAAAGCTAGTAAAGAGGTGTCAATCACCTCTTCCTTTTGCCTTCCTCAATCCAAACAAAGCCAGCATCAATAAACAAAGTAAGAACTTCCATAAGCAAAACCATGTCTCAACTGGCTAGGATACGAACATGATGAGAAGGAAATGATCAATCTTAACCAAGTGTAGAACCCAGAAATTCCCGTGCTAATGGTTCTCAAGTAATTAAAAGAAACCAAAAAATTTCTATAACTGTTATCAATTCTTAGTTTCCAAGGATATATAAATAACCATCAATTCAAGTTTAAGCTGGATTATAACATTTGGCCAAAATCATTAAAGTTTTTCTAAATTTTTCTTCTACAATACATAAAACATCCATAGAGACAGTCCCCCACTCTTACCAATAAAGCAAAGACTCATGGGCACAATAGGACATCAAAGTTTTCAGATCAAAATTACCATCGATACCAAGTAAAACATACATGATATCCAAAATTTAAGCAACGATACAAAATTTAGTAATCTTACGGTCATAAAGGCTTCCAAATTAAAGAAATTTTCTTGAAAGTTGCTTGTCCAACTTGGAGAAAAAAACAAAGGTAAGTACAACACACATGGTCATTATTTGTACTTAATATGTAAAAATGGTTACTAAAATCAGTTTAAAAGTAAACAATTTATTAGATACCTCATATGCTTTCATAGAATGATCAGCAGCCTCTTTTTTCTCATTACCAGCTTTGAATTCAGCAAGATACCGATAATAATCTCCTTTCCTGCGATTCCCAAGGGTAAAAAGTAATAATAATAATAATAAAAAATCAATCAATCAATCAATCAATAAAAACTAAGTATGCTGCTTGTAAGCAGTCAAAAATGATGTTTGAATATAACATCATACATCTTATAGAAGAAGACAGTTGATTCACCCGCAGATGCAGAAGGGATGAGATGTTCATTAATCACTGTCATTATATCATTACAGATGCTTGAAAGTTCAGATTCAACCTTGTGCCTATACTCCTTGATCCGCTTTGCGTTTACCTCATTCCCTTTAGCTTCTTCCTTTTGCTCTATAGAGGAAAGAATCCTCCATGAAGCTCTCCGAGCACCAATCACATTCTTGTACCCAACAGACAGCAAGTTCCGCTCTTCCACTGTCAGTTCAACATCAAGCTTTGCCACATTCTTCATCGCATCCACCATCTCTGTCAAAAATTAAATTTCTTTTAAGAGAGAGATAGATGTAATAAAGCTTTCCATTGCAATGAAGATGGAAAAGACGAAAAATCCCACTAAAATATAGATATTAAATGTTAAAAGCATTTCAGAATAAAGGAATTCACCTATCATGACTTTCGATTGGATTTTAATTCTCTAAAATGAAATTATTAGTGAACTTGCAAAATAAGTCGACAACTGCACGCCACTAGCCTTTAAATTCAATCGCACAAATAATACGATTGTCCCAAATTCTATTCAGCACAAAAGAAATAAAACGGCCAATATTGACTCTTCCCTCAACTTTTAAAAAGAAAAACCGTGGATAAATTTACTCAATTATGAGTAAATCTAGTGGACAGTAAAAACAACATCAAGTTCAGCATTTATTTTGATCAAATCACAGCAAGCATAGGAAAACGAAATTATAACTTCGAAAAGAGTGTAAAAAAAAAAAAAGAAAAAGAAAGAAAGAAATGTATAAAAAAAGGGATATTACCATCGTAGCGCTCAGCCTGTTCAGCGAGCTTCGCGACGTAGACGAAATTCTGACGGTCTTTAGAAGAAGCCATAGCTGATCTGTCCACAAATAGAAAACCAATTATTTAGGTTTTTATAGTGAGAGGATTTTGCCGTGTCGCAAATCTAAGAACTTGGCAATAGGAGAGAGATTCTCAACCCTTTATTTATTGTTTACTTTTCTCTCTCTTTTTTTTTTTTTGTTGTTTCTTTTCTTTTATTTTATCCGTTAGATTTTCAGTTAAAACTTTATTTAGTGTTAGATGGTTGACAGGTAATTATTGCGGCTCTAAGCTTTTTTTTTATTTTATTATTTTTATTTATTGAATTTTTTAAAATTTATTTAATTTAAAAAAATATAAATCTAATTTATTTTTGAACTCCAGTCTAATTTCCCATAATATTAATTTATCTGCCCCATTACAAGGAGTATAGATGTTGCAAATAAGACGCTCAAATTCCCGAATCCACCTCCCTTTAATTGCCGTAAATCCGCTATTTGGTATTGTTCGCACCGGCACAAAGCTTCCTTTATCTCACACTATTAACAGACCCCCAAAGTTAACCATCGACAAGGAAAATACCCAATTGAAATTCAGATTCCCCCCAAGAACCATTATCTGAGATCCCTCTATGATTTCCCTCATCATTTTTTGAATAATCACCATGTCAACTCTGTGAGTTACTAATAGTTTCTTCAAAATCCCTATTTTTGATCCACTACCCAATCCTCTAATATTCAAACAAAGAATTCTCATTCTACCATTTTATGCCCACGCCTAAATTATAAAATTAACAACAGGAGCACTTGCCTCTTTATCCCATCCTCGTTTAACCTTTAATCCCTTGACCCGAGCTCTTTGAGTCGCTCCACCACTACTTCATCTTCACAATTTCTCGAAAAGCTGAGGCATTTGCCTAGCTCCCATGCTTCTTCTGCTTCTCTCGTGATCACTTTCTGTCTATTCAAGAAGTCCCCATCAGATAAGGATTCACTTGCAAATATTTCCTCCAGGCTCTTATCAATTTTACCTTAGGTTTTTTTCAGTTTTCTTCCTTCCCTATTCTTCCTTTTGAAAAGTCTTTCAAAAAGGTCTTCTTCCACCTCTTCTAAAAATCTCACCTTTCTGCCCATTCTTGTCTGCTTCTCCACCGTTTGTACTAGGCTTTATTTGGCCTGTCAACACCTCCTCCCCCTTCCGAGGATAAGCCCCTGTCTCTTTTAGAAGCCCTATTTTATTTTTTCTCCTTCACACATCCCTTTATCGATAGGCTCTTGTCCAACGTACCCAGTCTCATGCCTTCAACCTCACATGTGCTTAAATCCACAATTAGGCCTACCATGTACCTCCCTTTCCCATCAACAGTCCAGCTTTCAGATGTCTATTTTGAATACATTCTTGGCCTGCCTCTTGTCCCTCTTTAATGACCTCTACTCCATCCCCCACTTCTCTTCTTTCTACATCCATACAAGTATCCTCGGACTCTTAGACTAATACCTGCATCACATCATTAGTTAGATCCCTACTGTTATTCTCGGCTGAAGTTTCAAGAATCTGTTCCCCTTCCACTTCTTTTTCTTCTTTCAGTGCACCTTAGAAGCTAGTCTCTCCTTCAAATAACCACTAATAATTACCCTGGTCACGTTTTTTTACTGCATTTTCGTCTGTCTTTTACGTCAGACAACAACAATGGAATGACGAAATCACATCTAAACCTACTTCTGACACTCTCACAGGGTGATTCTTGTCACCACACTCCAGGCTAACAGTCTCTTTAATCCTTTCTAATTGGCCTGTCATAATCAGCATAGCACCTCTACTAATGCCATTAAACTTAATGTGTTACCATCCATAAATATAAGTTCCCCTCATATGTTGGCAATGTTTTTGAACGTATTGTAATTCCATGCATATAATGGGACACCAAAGCATGTAATCTACGTTGCCCTGTACTTGAACTTGATTTTCTCTGACCAGCTTTCTATCCTTACAAACCATTCCTTAAGCCATACCCATCATGTGTTCTTCATCACCTTCATTGTTTCTATTTTATTAAAGGTGATTAGGAATTGTCTGCCTGAGATTTTCTTCACATGGACGTCAAAGACTCCTTGCATTCGAAAGTTTTCCTGCAACCTGTTTGCTTCATAGTAACCACGTGCAGTACCTAAGACACAACTCTCCAAGTTATGCAATGCTTCATCGAAAACACTTGCCTTACAAGACTTCCTTTAGCTGTCTCTGTATTTCCTATTCCCACTCTGATCATCCTCCTCGCTGATCACTATCTTCTCTTTCCTAATCAATGCCTACTGAATGTTCTACCTTATCCTTCATCACTAACAACATTTAAACTGATCGATTTCCAGACACTTCCTTTTCCCCGCCTTCTTTGATTTTCCTTACTTAGTTCTCTTGTGCTTTCTTTCTTACTGCCTTGTATCTTTCTCCAATATGACGATCAACTTTGAAACCTTACATGATTAACACCAATTTTAGAGTCCATTAGCCATTTACCGTTCAATCTTTCCACTATTCTTCTAGCATCACCATATTCAGCAAATCGCACAAAACCGAATCTTTTCCCCATAACACTCCTTTTATGGGGGATGAAAACGTCCACCATTCTCAAAAATCCTTTGAAGCCATCTCTATAGACTCTAGGAGGAACGTTGTTAACAAAAACTAAAAACGCCTTCGAAGAAACCATTTTTTCAATTAAATATTGATTATATATTAAAGAAAAAATAAGCTTGATGATGGATTTTTTCAGATTGTTGAATCCCAATGATAAAATTCGTAGTAAATCCATATTTACCTAGAAATTACTCTAGCAATTACACTTAACACAAAGTTCAAGTCAGTGAGTTAAAATAGCTCTTCTTTCACACCTACTGTTGATACTATTAATAAGTTAGGGTTTATAGGAGCTGATCAAAAAGATAGTTGTAAGAGGAATGATAGGAAGTCAAATGTAGAAGTACGTACTAGTAGTTCACATCATGTTAAATTTGATTTTGACAATCGAATGACTGAAAGTGAATTTAATGGTGAACTTAAAATGAATAGTGGCGTGAAAAAGCAATAGGAGTTTACTAGTGAGGATGTTGGTTGGATGGTTGAGAGTGATGATGAACATCATGAGTTAGATGGCAATGACCATGGTTTCAAATAACGGTTGTGTAACGGAATAGCGGTCATGAAATTGTGATAACACTATCATCCGTCATCGTTATCGAAGAAAATATGGTTAAAAAATTAAATCACACTCAAAACGGTACGTAACGATCGCTAAAAAAATAGTGTAATGAAAAATAACGGCAATAACGGATCGTTATTGCCATTATCTCCGTTTTCTTAATTACTGGTTCAAATTAAATAGAAAAAAACTTCAATCAACAATAATCCTAATTCAATGCACAAGTTACTCAAATTCAAATCAATTTTAAGTCTTGAATCAACAATCAAAATAAAAAAAAGATAAGAAAAAATTAAATTACCTCTTTTTTTTGGTAAATTTTTTGTAAAATAATATTGATCTTTATAATAATCTGAGAGAGATGATATTGAGAGACTCAGTAAAAATGACATTGATGAGGGTATGCGAGAGAGTGAGACAAATGCAGAGAGAAAAAGAAAACACAAAAAAGAAATGGACGAGGGTTTTTGGCTTACCTTTCTGGTTATCAAATTTTGGGGGAGAGAGGTGTTTGAGGGGGACGTGTGGGGTGGGTGGGTTTTTATTTATTTAATTTTATAATTAATTTTATTAAAATATAAGTTTAAAAATTTGTAATTTTTGAAATTATATATATATATTTTAGATGAAAACTTTTAATAATTTTTTTTTATATAAGTTAGATAAAAATAATTTTAATTAAATATTATAATTTGATTTTGTTATTTATTAATTTATGATTTTATATTTGAAATTTAATAATTTTTTTGTTATTTTGGTATTTATATTGTTGTCAATTCTTTTGTTATTAGATTAATTCTTATTAATTTATAACAATAATTGATGGAATTTGAAATTATTATATTTTTAAGTTTGTAATTTTATTAAATATGGATACTTGGTATTTAACGTATTATGTTTAGTTAATATTTTGATTTATCTAGAACTAATTTTGAATATGAACTTTACTCAAGTAAAAATTTTGTTACTAAATCAAATATAAATGTTTTATTATAATCTAAATAAAATTGTGAATTTAAAAAATAAAAAACATAGATGTCATAAATTGTTTTAAAAAAACATTAAATAAAAGTTTTTATAATTATAATTATTATATTTTATAACAAATTGTGCAAAATTAAAAAAAATTCATGATCGTGATAACCGCAATGATTCCGTTATATCCAAAAATGTGATAAATGCAACGCAACCGAAAACGTAACCGCGATCGCTATTTAAATCCCTGGTAATGACAATGTTGAGCTTGAAGTTATGATGGTGCTTGATAGTAATGATGAGTTATCTAACCTTGACAGTGATGTTGAAGTAAGGAATTATGAAAGTTTTTATTCTAATAAAGATGGTAGGGCAATTGATAAAGCTATGCAAGGAATACCATATTCAGTTGATGATTACAAAAAGTAAGGCTTGTTAAGAACATATTATTTCATAATGTTAATCACTTTAAAGAAGTCCTTACAAACTATGTCATTTAAAAAGGGGTAAAGATAGTAAAGGTTAAAAATGATAGGACTAGGGTTACAGCATATTTTAAGACTCATGGTTGTAATTACAGAATCCAAGCATTTATTGTTGCTAATGAAAAAACATTTAAGATAAAGATATGTGAGGGCGAACATACTTATATTAGAGTGAGTAATAACCATTGTATTCCATCTAGTGCTTGGATAGAAAAAAAGTTATGCTCAAAGTTGCATGTTAAACCGGAGATATCCTATAACTTGGTGCAGCATGAATTGAATAAGAATTTTGGGTTGATAGTTAATTTAAAAAAGTTGTATAGAGCTAAGAAATAAGTAATAGAGTAATTTCAAGAGACTTAAGCTAGGTCATATGGTATGCTTTATTTATATGCTCAAATGGTAAGGGATACAAATCCTGGTAGCATTACTATCATGCAATTAGAAAGGTCTGAAATTAGTATTAACCTTACTTTTAAAAGGTTTTTTTCTTTCATTTGATGCCATGAAGAGAGGATTGTTAATGG